CGTTTCGTCTCTCCTCCAAGAGACTTCTTCAGTCTGGGAGTTTCAGGCAAAATTCAGGCTTTTAAGCCCAGCCTCCATGTGACTGATACTCACATCACATGGCTATCGTTGACATCTACACAATTTTTTTCTTTTTCTTTCTAGATCCTTCAGTTTTAAAATATAAAAGTAAATGGTACTGAATGGTAAATGGTACTGAACTTATAGAGCGCTTTTCAAGTCCCTCTGGACCCCAAAGCGCTTTACACTAACAGGCCTACCTTTCCTTAAAAGAATGCATATCACCCGCCAGCTGCTTTGGCCAAACTGTTAAAATAATATGACTCTCAGCTACTACCACACCTAAATTTAGCTCATCGTCTGTAAAACTGACTAAGCTGTAGCCACTTCTGTGTTTTTTAGGTTCAGGTGGTTGTGACGGCCATCTTGAATCAGAAAGACTCCAAAAGTAAAACAGTTGTAGAGATGCATCCAACGATTACTTCCTGAAAGTTTCATAAAAATCCGTCCAGTGGTTCATATGATATTTTTCTAACGGACAAACAGCGTTGACTTCAATCATTATAGCTGAAGTTTTACACAATAATCTTGCACAATGTCGTGGGCTCTTGTAATATCTGTTTTGAATCACTCTCAGCTATTACAAAAGCAAATTTGAGCTCGTTGTGTGTCAATTTGGCTGTTTTGTAGCCATTTTTTCTTTCTGGCAAGGTCAGTTCGTCTTGGCGGACATCTTGAATCGGGTTGACTCCAAAAGTAAAACAATTGTAAAGATACGTCCACTAATTACTTCCTGAAAGTTTCAGAAAAAAACATCCTGTGAGACATTAGATATTTTGCTAACAGACAGTTGATTTTAAGAATTATTGCTCAATAACTGTCATGTGTAATATGTGATGTGTTTGCCTTAGCAGTCATCTTGAATTGGGTGCCCCCCTCCCAAAAATAAATAAATAAATAAAAGCCTGCAATAGAGAATTAGCCAATTAGTATTACCTGGAAGTTTCATTAAAAATAAGCTAATTCAATGATATTTTGCTAACAGTCACACAACCACAACCACAACCAGAAGCACAAACAWTATTGCCCACTTTTCACCTTCACTCATGGGCAACAAAACCAAAAATAAAAAGATGCTAATGGACTTTTACAGATATGATACTSTGTCCTAATTACGTTTTGCCACAGGCACTAGTTCAGTGCAGCTAATCGGATTAATGTCTTCACAACAAACACTTCTTTTCCCCTTCAGGGTGCGTACGCTCCGAGAATTTCAGCAGCAGAAGCATTTCAGCCATCAGGGACAAACCTTCAGAGAATAATCACCAGTCAAGTGTTCATGTCCTCCTGCAGTATCGTGAGTGGCCCACAGGGGGAGCCATTTTACTATTAAAAACAAACATTATCAACTCATCTCTTCAAYTGAATCAATTAAATCTCAGAACTCCAGGTTTATCAAACAACACACAAAGTTAAGACAAATGACTATTTAAAATTAAAACGTGAGGATATTTAAAAACTGACAAATATGTTTAATTTCGAACAAAGCAGCAWATTAATTTACACGTTACAAGACATCCAGGACCTAACGCTGCTGCGCTGTTCTGATGAAATGAAGGATAAACAGTCAGTCTCTCTCTCTCTCAAAGCCCTCAGGGAGCCATGCAGGCCTCTGTGAAGATAAACCGATCCTATTTAACCAGCCACCCTCTATCTGCTGCGGTAATCTCTGCTTCCTTCGTGTCTTTCTCTCATGTGAGTTTAAAGCTTTGGCCGGGGCTCAGATTCACTCTTTATTTACACCCGCTTCCTTCCTCACCTTCATTGACACGGCACGGTTGGTTGTATTCCTGAAAAACAACTCAATATTTTATCAAGTAATTTTAAGTAAACTTTGATGCATGATTTAGTTTAAAAGAAAAAAAAGTAATTACCTGATTTTAGGCAAATGATAGCAATTTATCTTACTTCAGGACTAATGAGCAATATCCTCAATCCAGGCATCACATCTTGTTTGCTTTGTTAAAAAAATTATTCTGTTACAAAGACATTCAGATTTCCTTTTGTGTTTACTTCCAACTCACCCAGACAAAACTTGTGAATTTTTAAGTTATTTATTCATAAACTTATACAACAAAAGTTATCACCAGGCTTTTAGCTTAACTACTTACGAAGCATAGAAGTTTACAAAATTTATGTCGGGGAAAAAAGTTAAGAACGGGCCAAAAATGAAGATTGTGGCAACAAGATGACACAATTTATTCTTTGTGTGTATTCCTCCAGACTTATGAAATAAWTGCAATCACCACTGCGGCTGCTTATGAAGTTTATGAATGTTACGGAGGGGTGAAAAAAACAACTTATGAATGGACATGTGTGTTGAATYTGATGTTGGAGAACCGAACAGAGTTACGAAACCCCAACATCCTGGTTATCACCATGCCCACCGAACAGTGCTGTAATGCTAACTACTGCTAATTAACCTCAACCATTAAAAAAAAGATAACGACAATTATAAGTTTCAGGTTATTCTTCTTATAGGAATATTTATGGTTAGTTTTGAAAAGATGTTCTGCCATATAGTTTTTAAAAGTTAGTATTTATTCATCGTGATRTCCCTCGCAGACATTTTCATGCAGGCTAGGCTAACAGCTAGCCAAAGAAGGGCCTATTCTTATATCAAAACAATTTTTTAACA